TAACATACTGAAACTTCTTTTATTTGAAGAAGAAAAGAAGTCTGTCTTGCAGTCTTCTAGTGTTCGTGTTGATTCATTTGCCAAAGAACCTTTCCCTCAGATGAAGATAACCGGGATCTTCTTATCACTTCCCCTATGTACTGGCAGAATTTTTTTTTTTTTTCCTGTATACAAAAGACATAAATTACATTCATTTGCATTACAAAACCCTTTCATTATCATATTGATTTTTTTCATCATGTTTAATGATTAACCATTAGACCCAATAGAAGGAAAACCTACAGGATGCTCTGTTATGAGGCTGGGTTTATACCATAAATTTATGTCAGTCTGTGACAGAGCATTACATTTTTGTTCAACATCTGCATAAGGTTCCCTCTCCAAGGGACTGCTGTAGCTGTTTCCTTTCATTTCGTCATATCACTCCCATCTTGTTTGTACTAACCTTCATCCATATGCTGTCAGAGAGATGCAGGATGACTGGTCTACTCCTCTCTATCAGTCAGTGCTAATAGCGTGAGAGCATAGAAGGTGGTATCATAATCAAGTGGATATATTGGCTGTGGTTTATTTCCTAGGGAGGGGAACACTAGTTTAAATTTATGAACTGAAGTCTATTTACAAATTCCACAGTCAATTTAATCTGGTATAAATCAGCTGTGCTACAGAAAGGGGCTGCCCATCACACAGCCATGGCTGCTTATCCCTGCCTCCTGCTTCTGCCAGCACTAGTGCCCATGAGGTGAACTGCATCAGGGAGCTGATCCAGATGAAAACTAACCATTTTTTTTTTGCCAGCTGAGTTTTCACTCAGATAAATTCCCTGCTTCAGCTCACTCATGGCTGCACAAACAGCAATGGCAGTGTGAGGGAGGCAGTACAAACAAATAGTCCATGGTGTAAGACAGAGGGGGACTCATCCTTTTAGCAGCAGCAGCCTTTTATCCTGCTTAAGTTGATCGTGGACCTGTGGCATTAGTTAAACTTGTGCCAGTCACTGTATGGATTATCTTATTTTCCTACTTCTTCCTTAGTCAAGTCAATTAGTGGCAGATTTCAACTAAAACAACGTAAACCAATGCTGCTCATGGCATTTATACTGCTCATTTGAACAAATGCAAGCTCTTGTGCCTGTGTGTGATCTCTGCTTCATACATACACAGACTTGAAGAGGCAACAGCAACCCCTACATGATCCTACAAGAAATTCCTGTCAGTAATAAGAGCTGATCTAACCAGGCCCTGTCAAAAACGTTCTGTGACACCATAAAAATCATTCAGTCCAACTGTATTTAAGTTTTACATAGCCTTTAGAAAGCAAGAAGACCTGTCAGCTGTCAGAAGTCCTAGTAGCAGCTGTAGCCAACAAACAAACAAAAAACCAAACACCCACAAATAAAAAATAAAATCTCAGACTAAGCTGCTATTAGGGCTTTCCATCCAGGATCCTTACCATTTAAAAAGTTAAGCACACTCTGAGAGCTACCAGTCTAGACTGCCTGTGGTCTGCCCTTTCCTCAGAGAGCTGTAAGTCACCCAGGCAAAGCTGACAGTTTTGCTTCACAGAAGTCTCTATTCCCAAGATTTCAATAAATGTCCGGGAGTGATAATTGCTTCCCATTATTTTCCCTAATATTCTGCATAACTGATTTAACATTGCCCAGTCTGGTCAGAGATCTTATCCTAACCCTAAACTGGCATTTGGGAACATAAAGCTTTCTAGTCAGCAGACACTTTGACTGCACTGGCCATCGTTAAACTTTACATACCCCTGAGTAGGTTTTTCAGCACAGCTCCCAGGAAGCCAGGAACACCCACATTTTCCTCATCCTTCTTTCTTTTTTTTTTTTTTTTTTTTCATTGCTATCTCCAGTCCTTAGGCACCTGAAGCTCTCAGAAATATTGAGTATCTACAGAGGAATACAGTTGGTATGAAACACTAATACATAAAAAAAAATAGCACGTATCATCCACACTTCATCTTTCAGTGTAGTGGTTCACTTGCATGTTGGGAAACAATGCCAGAAGATCTACAGGCTACAGACCTACAGTTCCCTGGATGAGCACAAGAGAGGTTATGTGGACTAATAAAGTAACGCCATGTTTTCCTATAGGCTACTTGACCTGCTGTGGGAACTAACAGCACTGAAGGCCCCTAACTAATGGTTAACCATCTCCTGTGTACACAGGGCTTGACTGAAATGCTCAGGACCAGCTTTTTGGTTGGCTCCATTCTTATCTTACTTGAAGCTGATAAAGGGGGTGCATCTTCCCTTGCTGCGGCTCCTTGCAAATGCCTGGGCAGAAGCAATCACTTTCTGGCAGATTCTGTCAACAACAAACAGCAGCGCTTTTCCGCAGTCTCACACCAATCTCACCTCTATCGGACAGTGAGGCAACAGCAGCATCTGAGCAATTTATGTTGTCCCCATTCCTATGTGTGCCTTGCTGGTGAGACTGTAGGGAGAAGGAAGGAAGAAACAAGGTATCACAGTGAGAAATGTTTACCAACTGCTTTACAGTTCCCCAGGTTGTTAGCTCTTGCACTTACAGGGATGACTTCTGATCTTAAACAAATGGCACAGGGTGTGAAAATTGATCAGTGTTTCTTTACCAGCATCCCCATTTTAAAAGTTACCTCCAGTATAGGGCTGGGAATCTGATACCCAGAAAAGCTCTCCAGGAGAATTACATTGACACTGCATTTAGTAAAAAAAACAGTAAGTGTGATGTTCCTGTGTTTACTTATCTCTGTTTATTTTTTCTGCCTTCGATCTATGGTGAGTGGAAAACCAACAAACTAGATGCTGAATGACAGCGTTTCAGCATCTGAGTATCGTAACTTAAAGTGATGCTACCAGTTAGACCAAATTGAAAATGAATATTTTGTCCCTAATATAGTAACAGAAAACAGTGAACAAATGTAACTACAGTTGTTCTTTTTAAACTCAAAATACTAACCTTGTTATACAGCTAGAGAACTCAAATGAAAGCAAGAGTTGTTTGGATTGTATTTTCCGCAATAATACTTTTTAATATGTTGATAAAACAAACATACATGTTTTATGACTACATGCAAAAATGACATCTCTTTCATTTTGTGTGAAAGTCCTAATTCAGAACAGCATCTATTGTCACAACAGTGTTTGAACACTGTGATAGGCTTTAAGCAAGTACTTAAACCTTAATACATGCTTAGTTTAGAAGTTCTTGTGAATCACAGCAGGTAGAGGCAGGCAGCATAATGGTGAGAGTAATCTGTTTCTTCAAAGTTTTCACTACTTAAGATAGGAAAAACAAAATCCCTTCCTGAATCAGCATGTTGTGATTTTTATCATAACATTCTTTCTATTAAATATCTTACCTACAAATGTTAGCATATAAGTCCTTCTAGCACTGATTTAGCTGAATTACACACAAACGGACATCACAGATTCTCAATTCCAAAAGACAGGGTACTTCAGTACAAGTCTGGAACAAGAATAGCATCATCTAAATCAGCTTAAATTAGTAATAAACATAAAACACACAATGAAACAAGATACCATGAAGCTAAAGGAATTAGCCTACATCTACAAGAAAATAGTTGAGCTTAGATCAATTGGACTCAACAAATGTGCCAGCGCTGGGAATGCCTTATCCACTAAGATTGATGTAGACCAGCAGAGCACTCCCTGCAGAAACAGCCGCTTCACATCTCCAGCCATGCATTTCTATCCTCTTGTTGGAGATCAGTGTCCTCACAGGAGGCATGAAAGAGCATGTCCTCAGAGCACTCTCCATCTGCTTCAGTGCCAAGCAGGTTGACTTAATTCAGACAGCTCTCTTGGTAAATTAAGACAGCCTTTGTACCAAATTGGATGAGGCGTGTTCACAGCTTCCAAACCTTCAGTTTAGGGGCAAAGCTGACAAGTGTCAACCACAGCAAGTTACAAACAACGTGAGATGACAATGTCTTTAGCCAGTATAACCATTTCTTCAGTGAAGGTCTGACCCATATGTCTGATGTGATCATATATCTAGCCTAGGTGCAATTTGTACTGGCTTGATTTGCACTGGCATAGTGAAAGCATCCCTCTTCCACATCATCCCCCCAAAACAAAACTGTATTGCTGCAGTTTCCTCTTACAACTTAGGTAAAGGCCATATAGACTCCCAGACATAGGTAGAGTCAATTAGGAAAAGACTGCCCAGAGCTGCTTTTTTACCACTGTCCAGCTGAAGGTCTTTTTGCTGATGCTGCTGAGCCATAGTAAAGTTGTATGAGTGGTCCTAGCCCATTTCAGTGCATGTGGTAAATTAAATCCAGGTATCTGCTGATGTTACATGGACTCAGACTAGGAATATGCACTAATGGGTCTAATTTTACTAATAGTAAAAAAGTTGCAAAAGATATTTCAAGAGTTTATTAACAGCTCTTGTGAGACAATAAACTTCTGTCAAGAACCTTTCTGTAATACTTTTGGTAGAAACGTCTAATGCAGGCTCTAAGGATTATCAGTGCTGCAAAGTGGTACAATTTCATAAAGTAGATCCCCTCTGGAAAGCCCTGGTAGACACAAGGCATGTAGGTAGAATTGAGGCTTTTTAACCTTCATTATATACCTGCTGCAGTTTATTATACATACCTATTGCAGTTCTGCTGAACGTTTTTTTTATTCCCCATGCAGTATGTGGTGGTACAAAGTTTTTTATGTTAAAAAATAAACTGGGGTTGAGATCTTCCTGGCTGGGGCATTTCTGTGGCCATGGGCCCTTAAGTCTCCCCCCAGCATTAGGTGCCCCAAATTTGCTCCACCCTTCAGCAGTGCATGTAAATCAGGGGCAGACCAGGGAGTCCCAGCTAGGAGGGATGGTCCCTGCCTGCCAGAACTTCAGTGGGCACTCAGCAAGCAGTACAACTGGGAACTATGTCTTTTCGACGTTGCTATAAGCTGGACAGAAAGATCAAAGTTTCATCCTTTCTCCTTCTCTTGCCGTGTATGGTGTGATGCCTGCTGCATGCAACAGCCTTCAGTGAGGGGCTTTGGACCTCTTCCTTCTGCTCAAGCTTTCCCGGAGGATCTCACGGGTATTTCAAGCTGCAAGAAAATGTACTGGGCAAATCGCGTTAGGTAAGGATGCCTGAGCTGTCAGAGACCTACCTTCTCTGCTTTTCCTTTTAGCAGTGCCTTTTTTTTTTTTTTTTTTTTTTTGGCTGACAATCAGGCCAGGAAGCAGAAAGAAAAAAATATACCTGGAACTGCAGGTGAAACGAAGTCTAATGTTTCCTTCTTGCCTTTGTTGCTTTTGTAACTGCTGGCAACAACCTAGTTGTGGTAAAGAAATGTACAGAAAAAGACATTTTTGACTGGTTGTCAACCAGCAAATGCGTGGAAACTGTAGCTTTCTGGAAGAAAGCCTAACCTGTGTGTTCTTGTTCTCTGCCCGCCCCATCCTCCAATTTTCAAGCTTAGTTTGAGATTTTTTCATGTATTAATTCGAATTACTACTGACATAAAAATATTTACAGTTTATATCATAATGGTTGATAAAGCTCCTTCCTGCCCCCCATCGTCATTTTGGTGTTTGTGTCTTACTAGCACAAATTTATTTCAGCTTTTTTTTTTTTTTTTTTCCAGAATTCTTTTCACTGTCATTCTGATCTGGCAGGCTGTTCATTTAGGAAAAGGTAAGGAAAGTTCCCTGCCGCCCTCCTCCCTCTCTTTTTTTTTTCCCGCCCCCCGTGTTTCTCATGTACATTTCCAGTATGCATTGCTTCATTAGAAGTTACCCTTCTTTTCCATATTTGCACTTCTTGTCAAGGCCGTGAAAAAGAAGAACGAGAAGGAGATGTGGAAAGTTTCAATGCCACAGCACAAAAGCAGCAGCCCAGGAAAGAAGACGCTATTATAAATTTTCTCAATTACCTGAATCAGAGTTACGAAGACGGAAGGCAACAGCATACCAGGGTATTGGTACCTTTCACTGGGATTACAGAGAGTAGGTAACATTATTTATTTACACAATGCCATAAAATTTGGGGGTTTTAAATATTATATCACAGTAATGCTTTGACTGTTGTCCTGAAGATTCCAGCCGGTTGGTTTTCTGTGGCCGCTTATTTAAATTATTCCCATGGCCACTTGGGAAATGGTGATAAAAATTTAAGGTAGAACCGAGAATCTCTTACCTGCAAAAGGTGGTAACGAAAATCAGGGATGTATACTAGGAATTAAGAAGGGGCTGGTCACTTGGATTTGGAAAAGTGTTTATAAAATTTTGTAAAATTCTGTTAATTTTTTTAACATTCACCATATTTCATGACCAAAAATTATTTAATTTAAAAAAAAGTTTGAGCTGTTGGAAAGCAGCAGTACTAACAGAAAAAAACAAGGACAGACTTATGTTTTCTCATACATATATAAAATTTTAGATTGATGCTTAATCCCAGGAGTCTGAGAGAAGCTTATGGAAGCTTCTCCCTCCCCTTTCAAAACTAAGCAACTCTTCCCAGTTACACAACCTCCTTTCTTAAAAAAACAAGCACCGCTTCCCGGTAACAATGCCCCGTTTCTCCGTGTGACTGAAACCTGCCTCCGTTAAAGTGAAATGTTTCACCTGAATATACGCTGCTGCTGCTGCTGCTACGGGATTTGCCAAGGGTTGCTTCTTGACCGTCTTGTAATCCCTAGTAGTTTGCTTCTAATCCTTAACTAAACAAACTGGGCTTAACCGAACAAACACTCCTAACAGGCAGATAATTTTATTGTCTCTAAAGACAATAAAACTAGATATCCTTAAGATCCTTTGGCAACTGGAGAGACCTGAGAGAACAAGTGAGGAAAAGGGGAGGTTTGGAGCTCCTGTATGCTTGGTAACCTCTGTAATATTGTCTTGCAGGTAAAAAACTGAACAAACAGTGCTGCCAAAACGGAGGGACCTGTATCCTCGGGTCTTTCTGTGCCTGCCTAAAGCATTTCACTGGCAGATACTGTGAACATGATGAGCGGAAGAGGTAAATACCAGACCAAAACCAGAGAGAGCGAGCAAGCTGCTCTGGGTGCTTACTGTTCTGTGGTGGGATCAGGGACGTACCAAATGTTTCCCTTGTCCTTGACAGCAACTGCGGCAGCATTGCCCATGGTACCTGGGTGCTGAAAGGCTGTCGGCTGTGTCGGTGTGGCTATGGTAATCTGAACTGTCTCTCAGAAATAATGCACGGTAACTGTGGTAAGGAATGGCATTAAATCAACTGTTTTTATCTTTTGGGTAACAGAATTGCCTTCTGCAATGGTGGGGTACTCAAAGGATGCTGTATGTGTTCTATTTAGACTTATGTAGTGGCCTGCTTTGCTTCAGAGAATGCATTAGTGAGACAGTAAATAATGCTGCTGTTGCCTGTATAGTACATCACATAAAAAGCTTTGAGATCTTTATAATCCTGTGCAGTAGGAAACTTCCCCCATTTTAACTGAAAACTACAGGGATTAAATGTTTCTCTGATTTGCAAAACCTGCACATGTCTATGATTTCCCACTTAACCAGGAGAATTCATACAACTAAACCACATCCAAGCATACAAAAGTCTTTCTTAGATGAGGAAAGACAAAACACAGTAGTGTAAACTGATGTGGTAGAAGTAGAAACCGGTATTACACTAGAGAAACAAGTACTGAAAACTTGCATGTTCTGGCATAAACTACTTAACACATAAATGGCAGAAAACTAGTCTGAATCTTATTTTAAAATCTATATCTTAATGTCCAAAATATTCCTGTACAGAGTTCTAAGACTGAGCACACTCCACAAAAAATGTGTAGCCATAGTCCTGATCAGTGTAAAGTAGTAGTACCCAGTCTCCCCAAAAGCACTATATTACTTAAAGTCAAGATTCTCTACATCAGCCTGTGAAAATCCCTCTAAAATGGTTTGAGTATTTTTGAAAACAGTGTATATCAGATAGCTAGCATAGAAACTTGAAGGATTACTTTACAGGTACTTATTTTCCATGGAGAGCTGGCTACTAAGATCCAGACTATTTTCAAGACTCTGAGATGACTAATAAAGAGTTTAATATTATTTTGTCTCCAATGGCAAAGTTCGTGCAAAATATTCTTGCCCTTCTCTACCCATGTCTCAATCCCACCCTGTGTTGTGATCACCTTCCTTCAGTTGTGCCAACATCACTAGTTTATAGAGTAAGAAAATGACAGGCCTAAATAGCTTAAAGATTCATTTGCACCCCAAGGAACTACCAGTTGCTTCTTTCCTGACTGAGTAGCAGTGCATTGAAGCTGTGACTCCTGAGTTATACCACCAGCTCAGAAGTAAATACATATTTCAAACTTGAGTCTCTTAGTTCCCCAGGATATGCCCTACTGTGTGATAAAGCCCACAAGTCCAAAGAAGTGAAATGCAAAAGAAAGGTGACATTCCTATCTTTTCAACCACAGACAAAAAAAACCCCAAACAACACACAAACCCCACCAAAACCAAAAACCACCACCAAAACAACTTTTGCCTTGAAGTCTTCCATATTGACTAATTATGTGTGGCACCCAACTTGTTCATTAAACTCTTCAGAAGAGTTAAATGAAGTCAAGGTCCCTTGGGTGTTCACCTTTGAATCAGCCCTACTGTTAACCATTACAGGAGCTAAAGACCTGTCAGGCCTCGCCATGCTCAGTAAAAGCAGTCTACTGCTTACTACTTTCGAGCTCAGCTTGTTAAAGGCCATAAAGGCTGCAGTGGAGAACCGTCTAATGATATTCTAAGCGGGACTCACTGGCTTTCACTTGCTTGAGGGCATGGCTTTCTGCTTGTGCTAATAAGTGAAGGCTGTTCCTGTAAAGGAAGGGTTAAAAGGCTACATGCAGACTTGAGTGCATACCTCTTGTGAAGATCTTGCTCTTGCTTGGTATTTACTTTTGATTATTCTGAGATTAATGCCTGCAAGAACTGATAAGTGCTATCTGTTGCTCCTCAAACGATCATTGATGGGACATCTATTCACATCTCTCCCCTGAGAATAGACTCTTTGATTGCCTTTAACAGCTGATACCTTTAACTTAAGTACCTGTGAGATGTCAGAGGACTTTCAAAGTATGTTGAAAACCCTTGTCTTTTAAAATTTACCTATTTTACTTATTAACCAGTTTATTTTCTTGCTATTTTTTTAGACCTGAAGTCAGGAAAGGAGGAAAATACCACAGTATCTTCTAATGGGCTAAGATTACAGCAAACAAATTTTGTACTTGCTTGCCTGCTTCTCTTCCTCCTGAAGTTCTACTGCTGGCAGTTGTGAAACTGGAGAAAGGGAAATATCTTAGGGTTGATGTAACCCTCACAATGAGTCATACAACTTTTTTCTTCTTTGACCTACAGAATACACTTATACCTACATGTTAGAGGCAGATTAAGATGTATTAGTCAATGCTGAAATGCTTGGTTTATTATAAATTCAGATTATATGAATGTGAAGTATTTATTATATATTATTATATTATTACTACTATCAATGTGTGATACTAACGATTTTTTAGTTCTAAAATACTGTTCTTCCACTGGAAGCAAAAAACTCTCAATGTTCTATGCCTTAAGTACTGTAAATTATAGTAATTTCCTCTGTACACAGTACAACTATTTTAACAAATAAAGCTGATTTCATTTCTGAAGCGCTTTTATGTTTGGTTTTATTTAGACTTGAAAATTCTTATCTACTATTTGTCATTGTACTGTATCCTGTAACAAAACAGTAAGAAAAGGGCAGGGTAGAATGAACAATGTGAAATTTGAAGAGATAAGAATGGTTTTAAGGGGTGATATATTTCAAACCCTAATATACAGAACTCTAAAAG